CTGGGATGCGATTAAGAGTTCAAATAACCAACTTGGAATATGTTTGTGATTAAATGTTTCAAATCTTAAGCAGACTGGTTCTCATTCTTCAAACATCCCCAAAAAGCAAATGTGTACTAAAAACTTAAGTAGGAAATGAACAGCTGCCAAGCATGTCACTTGTGTTCCATTTTATTCAAGGAGGAAACAGGAAACTGATAAAATTCCAGCAGAGGAAAATAAACACTCCAGTTGATTGATAATAAACCAGTAATTTACCATCAAAATATTCTTGCTCACTCAAGCTGTTTCCATATGTAATGACACTTGAGTTCTGTTATTGGGGGTTGGGGAATGTGAATGATGTTTATCTCTATTACATTGATATCTTCATATTTTTTATTGTTATTTGCAAGATGTTGTTACTTGACTTTAGCCTTTGAGCTAGATTGAAGTTAGGATTGGTTTTGTTGTAATGCTTCAGGTTCATGAAGCTGAGAACAAGCTTGATGTTCCTAAAGATGCAGAGGAACAATCATGTGATGTAAATTATCTTTGCCTTTCTCAATGAGTTATTTGATTATTAAATTTTCCTTTACAAATACAATTCAATGCTTGCTTCGTTAAAGCATCAGTCAATATTAATGCAGTATTAAACATTTAACTTAATTCTTTATCAGGCAACCAAGAGGCAAGAACCAGATATTACTGGTGAGAGAGATGTCCAAATCTTGGATGCTACAAAGTCAAACGTAAGAAGTGCCAGTCCTTCTACTATGAATGACGAAGCTATAAAAATATCTGGTTCAAAAAGGAAACCACATTCTGAAATTACGAAGAATTCCAAAGCAGAAAATGCCAAAGCCAATTTGGAAACCGACAATGCAGAGTCTGTTCAGGAACCAACATCAGAAACTCAGCTGAATACAGTACCAAAAAAGAGGGGCCGTAAGCCTAATTCTCTAATGAACGAAGAGGAAGGCTATGACCACTCATGGATTTTTCGGGAAACAAAACCTGGGAAATCAGCTCTATCCAGAAAAGCTCGCAATTGTAGTTCTGCTTTTCCGTCTTCTGAAAAACCTGTTTCCAGAAAGGATAAGTTGCATCAAAAGCCTAAAACTGTAAGTGAAGCTATAGTTTCTAAGACAAAAAGTGAGAACATAAAACCTGCCCAATCCATAAGGACTCACAATATTGGCAGTGATTTTCCACCTAATGATAACCCTGCTTCCTTCAAGGATGGTGTGATGTCAAAGCCTGAAGATACAAGCAAAGGTTGTGAAGCTTTAGCTTCTAAACCTAAAACTGATGAGAATACTGATGCTGCTCCTTCTTTAAATAATAAAATTCCTGATGGATGTTGCATCAATCAAGATGTTCACTCTAATTCTGTGTCAATGTTAAAGGAAGACAACTTGAATCCTCTGCCCGAGGATACTTCTTTGGATTCCCCAGCAGTTAGGTTGGAAAAGGAATCTGAAGTAAGGAAGGATTCTGAACTAAAACCTGCTAAGAAAATCAAACTTTCTATAAAGTTTGGTGGGAAAACTGCTGTGGCTTCAGATACGGTAGTTGCTAAGATGGAACCTAATGTTTCTTGTGGAGATGAGGGGAAACATGAGTCATCTATGAATGTTGAGCTAGAAAATAAAGAAGAGGGAACATCATCTGCTCAAACAGTTATTAAGAAAAGGAGGAGGGGAGATGCTACTTCTAATAAGGGTCTCAACAAATCATCCGTTGTGAAGGTATGGCAAGTATCATTTACAATCCTCCAAAACAACACACGACATACTATTAAACCTCACATATGTTGTCATGTCCCTTCTGTTTAGGAGCTGATTGCTGAATCTGCAAGTAAAACATTAAGTGGCTTCAAGGAAACCCCACAAACAAAGCGGAGGGGAAGACACATTACTTTGAGTGCAAAGGTATGTATTTGAAATTCAGAGTGGAGTTATTGACATTTCAGTTTTTTCCAATAAAACCCCATGGAATATCTCATTTTCTTTAATTTTTATACGACTTGGTGTTCTTTTTTGGTTTACTCTGGAATGTCCTTAATGTGTGATACTCTCTAAGATTATGTACTATTTATGCTAACCAGATGATATGCCTTGGGAAATGGAAAGGTTAATGGCATTATATGGCCTTTCTATTTCTTCTTTTGACTTCTTAATTAAAAAATTATATCTGATCATATCTCTCTATGAATGTGTGTGTGGCCTTTGTCCCGTGTAAAAATTCTACCCTACTCCCATACTACCACATAGAACTAGTGATTTATGTTGGGAAGTCCCACATCGGCTGTCTCAATTCTTAGGATACGATTTATATATCAGTTGGGAAATTTCACTTAATACCAATTGGTTTTTAAGATGAAATCTAATATGGTATCAGAGCCTAAAGTCCATCTTCTTGGTTTGCCTATTCTAGTAAGCATCGCCTAGTTCAGTAGGCATATGTGGAGGGAGGATGTTGAGAAGTCCTACATTGCCGGCCTCAATTCTCCGGGTGTGGTTTATATATCAATTGGACAACTTCACTTAATGCCAATTAGTTTTAAGATGAAATCTAACAATTTAAACACTAAACTAGTATTTTTTTTTACGTAACATTCAATTTTAAGGCTTTTGACAATGGTTTGAATTAGATTCTTGTTATCAGTGTTGTTTGTTTACTGGAAATTTCCCCTTATAAATTACTATTTTCTGTACAATGTTTTCTTCAGGCATCTCAATCTTATGATGGTAACCCATTGGTTGGTAGTAGGATCAAGGTTTGGTGGCCGAAGGATAAAAAGTAAGTATCACAGTAGCATATTTTGTATTCTATTTCTATCTCTGCATTCCTCTGTTGCCAATTTCTAAGCAAGTATACTATAGCCTTAGCTGCATTAGGCCCCACGACTCTGCAATGAAATATGAGAATAGAAAAACCCAAGGAGGTTGGGGGGGGGGGGGGTTGA